AGTTAGGCTCCCGGACTGATCTGTACTTTACTTCACTTCTACTATTTTATATTTCTTAATGATCAGAGTGAAATTATGTTTCGTATTATTGATTATTATGCTTTTTGTAAGCGAGTCATGATTCGCCTGAGGAATAATTTCTAGCCGAATCCAAGGACATATTATAAAATATGATCGTTCACTTATTCAGAATATAATTGACCTACTCTGTGAATATCGAATATTTCACACCGGTCACATTTTGTTTTCACTGCAAGCGGTCACATTTATATTGCATCCCCACCGATGTCTGAACAAATGTTCTGTATTCAGAATTTACACCATGAACACAGCTCATATAATAACACAATACATATTGTTATTAATTAGGAGAATTGAAAAGTAAGCGAGATTATTTTCGGAGCAAAATGTGATGTATTCGATTCTATCAAGATACCAAGCAGTGGCAGAAAAGTCAATTACTACGTTAAACTAAACAGTTTTAACTTTTATTTTTAATAAATGTCAAACCAAGACCAAGCGAGATCCATACGAAAACTATAGTTGAGCTGAAATTTTATGATGCATCGTCATATTTCGGTTTAATACAATAATATTATCTGATCAATTTGGTGTTATAAACCTCAAGCAAGGAGTCGACGTCGTGACTCCTTCCCAAACCAAAAAAAAACTAAAAGATTGAGGTTCAGACATTCTCGTATACCATAAGATATTGCAGTTACGATCAACCTATCAGTTTGGAAAGTATTCGTCAAACAATACTCTTATAAAAAAGTAATGGGTATATAGAGAAAAATAGTTTTTGTTTTTGAATTGTGCGATATGTATATACCACGTCCAGATATAACGTCCAGAAGATGACAGCCATTAGCAGCAACTGTTGGAGACGATCTCCGAAGCTAACTTCTTTAATAATCTATTTCCTGAGTTTTGTTAGGGTTTGAGGCTGAAATTCATACATCTTTTCCTTCAGATATCCCCACAGAAAGATGTAATATATGCTCAAATCTGGTGACCGTTCAGGTCAGCCCACCCTTCAGAGAGACCAGACGTCCGGGAAAACTTCTCTAAAAGCTGTCAGTAAATTTCTAGCTGAGAGCTGTAGTTCCGTCTTGTTGGAACCTCCGTTCTTTTCTACAGGAAATTTCGTAACATTGCCATATATGTTGTTGAATTCACTATCACAGTAACGCTCTCTTCCTGGAAAAGGTTTAGGTCTATAATAGGCCCACACTGTTAGTTTAGGGTAATTTAGCGGTCTTGAAAAATAATGAACATTTTTGCGGTTATGATCAGTCCAGAGTGAAAATTTTGCTCTTTTATAGCCCCAGTGAGGTGAAAATGCACTTCGTCGCTGAAGAAAGCTGTGTCTAGAGTAATTTAATTTGGTTTCTTAATGGAATATATTGGATACTAAATGGGGTGATCGATGAAACAGAAAAAGTAAATATGCTCATTATAGTTAATGGTGATATGACTAAAATATACAGTTACATACTTCAACTTATTGTAAATAAATATTTAGCAATGGTACTGATGTTATTACGATAATCAAGCACTCAGTTCTCATTTTATGTGGGACGGCTCTCATATTTCTGCGTCTCGACATTCTGTCCTGGGTTGTCGGTTCAGACGCTTTCTTACAACATAATGTTCGTCTCTGCACATAACGTGACCGTACCATCGCAGGCAACTCTCCGTTAGTTTTTTAGTTACAGGGCGGCCACCTTATTTTCAGTATTCTGTCCCATATAGCATAACAGGTCTTACCGCCATCCTGCACAATTTGCTCTTTGTGCGAATAGGCATATTCAGGTTCCATAGCAATCCAGTTAAGAATCGGCATTTCTGCCAGGCCATGTCGAGTCTATGCTCCACGTCAGCTTCTACATCCACGTTATTAGAGATCATAGATCCCAGATACTTAAATTGTACGACTTTCGGAACTGATGTTTCATCAGGCTAATAGATGCTAGCCTTAACCAAAACCCTATTCCAAGTGCTCCATCTTTGATCTACTCACCTTGAGTCCCGCACATCTATAGTATTGATCCATAGGGTGAGTGTGCTCTTAAGCTTGGTTTCAGTTTTCGCGATAAGAACTGTCATCCGCATAACGTAGATTCCAGGGTAGTGGTTTTAGGATGTCTTTCGTAATCAAGTTCACCACAAGATTAAACAGTAGTAGGCTAAGAGCAGAGCCCTGATGATGAACACCTACTTTCTCTTTGAATTCTTGGTTGAGACTAACCGGGGCCTAACTATATACATATCTTGTATTAAATGTATGTAACATTCAGGAAAATGTTGTGCTCTGAGAGATTGATAGACAATCGAACGCCTTCTCGTGCTTTGTGAATATTAAATATAAATCTTCAAATTTAATACCGAATGAAATTCCTAACCTATATTTGACAAGGTAAAATAGCTTTTAATTTTAATTGTATTTTATGATTTTTTATAATCCTTATAGGCTCCTGATGATGGCTTAAGCCGAAACCGGTAGAGTCAACAATAAATAATATATTGAAGTATTAAATACAGTTTTATTTTTCAAACATAAAACACCAATATGGATGAAAACCCCTTTACATATTAAATCTTCTTTGTTCAGGCGGCGCTTTTTCGTTAATATTGTAACTTCCTGTATTGCATCAGTTATTGATTTGAATTGGATCTAGTTATTAAAGGGCTAAATTTAAGTAGCTAAATCGCCACGATTCTGGTATTGACCTGATCAAGAGTATTTCATTAAATAGTCTTGTAAGCCATTCCAATCCAATAGGGCCAAGCGTATTCCACACTTCTACTGGGATCTCATTGGGGCCCACAGCTTTACAGTTTTTTATCTCAGTCACAGCTGCCACCTTCTGTTTATGTCATTGTTAGGAATCTTTGGGTCTTACTTTTGATGTATGAAAAACAAAAAATATATATCAATTTTCGGAAAGGTTACAAATTTTCAAAAAATCCAACTCCGCAATATCGTCTTGACTATAGAAAGATTGTTTCGTTGTCTGTCAAGTTTTATTTCATTTTATTTCTGATGGCATCCCTTATCTTTTCCTTCCACCTGGTTGGATCTTTGCTCCATATAACAAACAAAACATACGCTGATCTTGTATGTTTCAGTATCCTTAGTAATTCTTAGCCATTACTATGAGTGTTAAACATGTTCAAGAAATAGGAAGCACGATATATCTCAGTCATCACTAAAATTGATAGATCCGTTTTGAGTTTCATTTTAATTGTATTAATTATTGTATCATTCTTTACTATATACAGAGTGTTCTGTAGGTCGTGACACAATTTTAATCACAAATACTAGAGTAAAAATGACGACGATTCGTGTAAAAATGTTTGGTGGCTGAGGTATGGGCCTTTAAAGATATGACATTTTTCAGCATCTTTGTCGCCACTACATAAACATTATTCTTTATTTGTACCAAAATTCAAATTTTGTAATCTACATACCAGTTAAATGAATCGTTAATTTTCATTCCAAGAATATTTTTCTCTTTCACAATAATTAAAGCCTCATTACTCGTAGTTTTTTACCTCACCAAAAGGAATGTAGTTGTAAAGAAACCGTTTCTCATTGCAACATTATGAGCTGTTCATAAACTATTTGAATTTTTTAAATAATATTCTTATCTCAACATAAAATTTTCGTAATTTAATGAAAAAGAAAAAAACGGAGATGTAACTTTGTTAGGAATCGATGAAGATAATAAATTTAACTTAAAGAAAAGTTAGGCAACTTGACGAACAAAAAAACGAACCAAAAAGACTATGCGTTAGATGCGCGTCACGATCGACCGGAACCAAGAGGGGGCGGCTGCGCGGATTCCCCCCAGTTGAAATCCCGGGCGCATCCTCCCGCCCCTCGAATAGAAAGCCAAGGGGGGCGGCCGAGTTGAGAATCGTGAACGTCGTCGTTTTTGGTGCAGTGCATCTTTCGGAGGGCTCGCTAGACGCCGCCGACGACGACGGCACCGGGGGCTCATCTCGATGCTGTTGCTGCCGCATTATGACCTGCGTCCTCCTTCTCAACCACCACCGCCGTCAACCAAAAATCGACATCATCCCATCGACCACCGAAACTATTATAATTATTACCGACGTAATCATAAATCGGAAAAAGGGGGGCAAAAATTAAATTTAAGAACGGGGGACACGAACCATATGGGAGGAGGAGCCGTCGCCGGTATTTCTACGGCGGCTCACTTTAAAGAGGCGTCATTACGAATATTAAAGTGAGTGAAGGTTTAAAAATGGATCTATTTAGATGAAATTTAATAGTTTTTTTGTTATTTTTTTGACGTTGATTCAGTTAATCAAAAAAAATGTCATTGCTACAGTGAGTTACTTTCCAACATATTTCTAAAGTACAAATGTAGAGTTTCAAAATTAAAAAATTTGCGATTCGAAAGCGCTTCGATGATTCGATGTACCGTCCAGATCAAATGCTGGTAGTAACGAATGCAAACGACGACGAAGACGACATCCGGAAGACGAGCGAATGACGTGTTGTGGGGGGCGAACGAATAATGCGCGTTGGCAAAACGGATAAGATAAGATCGTTTCGATAATATACATCAAATGATTCGAGGAAAAATTCTTTTCAAGAAACTCAGTGTGTTCATCAAAAGAAGAAGGAATTAATTTTATTACTCCCCATCTCTATGGAATACTTTCTTAATCAGTTTTGGAAACTTCGGAATGAAATTATGTAACGTAAACTAATCTGCAAGTTTAAAATAATTTATAGGTTATGTAAAAATGTAGTAGGTTTTGACTTTATGTCAAAAGATTTTTTTGTTTTTTCAATCATTAATTTCTTGTTTGTGACATTAATATTTATTGATGACAAGTGTAATATGTTGAAAGCCTCCGTAACACATGGAAAACTAATAATTATTGTTCAGAGTATGATTAGAAAATTGACCACTTTTTCTTTGTAATTTTCATTTGTTTATTTTGATATAATTTATTTTCAGAGACATCATTAATCAGAGGCATCGTTGGGAGCGCTGGGCCTGGGCAGAAGACGGAGGGGTGCATGAGTTCACAGAGACAACCTGTTACATGTTATAGGTATACAACAAAAATATTTTAAAATTTGTTATAGATTTATAATTTTATGATTCTTTAAAAACAACCCAAACGTTACTAGTAAATAATAGCCCAAATATACTAGAAGTTAAAATTAGAAGATGATAATCAGTGTTAATCATATCTTACTAGCTTGCTAAGATAAATGTATCCTATTTATGTCGTTTTTAACGTATTATATATTTTTGAAGCTTATTGGTTTCAAAAAGAACTTATTGATCAAAAAAAGTTTTAAACATCTAACTTTAATTCTTTGTACTACCTAGATGCGACAGATCCAAAAGATCAGATACTTTGTAAATGTATGGCATACTATTTATTAGCACTTAATCAAGTGAGTAAACATTAATGTATGGCCCAGTGAGGGATTAGGCGCGTTTATTTTCATTAGAAACAAATATAAATTTGGAGATTATGTACTTTCATACAAACGATCTGCATTTACAATTCCTATTAGGTTTTTCTGTTTTAAGTCTTATGATAACAAGAACTAACTACATTCACATTAGATGTATCTACATCTAATGCTGTATCATCTAGCTCTAAGAAGCAATCAAGAATATAAACACTAAATGATGACATAAGATTTAAAATCATATCTCCATTTGGTATGAGTTTGGTCACAATGTTCTGCTAGAATAATTGAGTTTTCATATAATGAACACCTTTCAACCAGCTTTTATCAACCAAGCATCCCATCCCAGCCATTGCTCTTGTTTCCTGCCTTATTTCACTGTATGTTAGTACATTTTCGTTTGGTAGTTTATAAATTCCATGTTTCTTCGTTTTTGTTTCTGTTATTCCCATTATATCAACTTTGTGCCTATTTATTTGTTTGCGTTCTTAAGGATTTTTTACTTTACACTTTCCTACTTCTGCAGTACTTCATCAAGTGTTTCGTCTGTTTCTTTTTCGGTCTCATTTTCGCTATCCTCAATGAACACAATATTGAAGGGGCATTATTGTGTTCTTATCACATATATATATATCTCTCTCACTTCCTAATACTTGCATTTTGTAATGTTGTTAATATCTTATCTTTAATTTCTTAGATTCACTTGTCCCCATCTTCTCATTTAACGACTTCATACTTCTACTTATTTGTTGGAATATCTTTTCTATTCTTTACATATTAGTCATTTTTATTTTATTTTATGCGCTTGGTGTAACTTGTCACCCAACAGGTTAACCGTTTGGGTGTAGACAACTATCTTTGGCTTGTAGTGTTAGATGTGTATACAGTGCTTGTTTAAGTATTAATCATCATAATACCATAGTGCAGATCTGAATACGCTGAATAGATAACATGAAAGTATTTTTGTATCAAAATTTCCTTACAAAATTTGTCTTTTTTTAAATATTCTTGTCTAAATTTAGGTCTAAATCAATATTTGTAGCATGTGTATACGCTGTTATTTAACAAACAATGATAAATGCCACTGTGATACCTTTGGGGTTACTAATGAGGCCACTTATTAACTTTCTTGAAGGGTGCTTCCACAGTTTGTGCGTGTCGGTGATAAAGTGTAGTTTTTTTAATGTGATAAGTACGCTGCTAACAAATGTTCCATAATCTTGGCTATAAAAATACTGGTTTCGTTAGCTAATAAAAGTGCGGGAAATATGCTTCAGTTCTGATTTGGAGATAGAGGGGAAATTGATGAATGCGATGAGGATGTTCCTGCTAATTCAGATAATAACAGTGAAAGGAGTTTCATTGAAGTGTATTTCTGAAAATAACTATCTATAATGTATCCAAAATCATAAACATTTGTCAAACCAATAAATTATTTTTATATGGCAAATAAAAAATAAATTTCCGAAACGTAATGCACCAAGTATCATAATAGCAATAATAATAATAACAAGCTCTTCGAACAAACATCCAGATTACAAATATATTCAATTGCCTCTTTTATCGCAGCTAAAAAATCGGATGGGTTGCCACTGTAGGATCCAATCTGCCATTGCTCCACTAGCTGTTTAATAATTTGTCTTTCAACGCCTCAGTCGCAATTTGGAGAGGATATTTTTCCCCACCTGAAGAGTAAATCGGAGCACCTTCTGCAGCTCGTCCTTATTTTGTTGAGTGTTGCCCAGATTCGTTTTGGTTGTCCGAAACCCTCTGACTACCTTGTTACACATGGCATACTCCGGGGTTGGTAGGCGCTGCACTGTTCTCCCAGCCTTCTCTCTAGCGCTCCATTATGTTGACGTCATTTTCGATTAGAATTTTTACAGTTTTTAGAGGGAAGTTAGTTCTATCTTTCTATACGACCCCACTTTATGCGGCAATCTGCTATAAGGGCCTTCTTAAAATATACCTCTATTTCGCTTTACGGCCTAAACTCGATAATTCTAAAATTATTGACATTTGTAAGCCCTTGGGACTACCGAAATCTACAGTTCGAACAATTCGCAACAATAAGAAATACATTAAACTACATTCATAGTCAGCTGCTGAATTATTAATAATCTGGATTGAAGGCAATCACGAAAAATGGTGATGAGGCAAATGAATATCCAGAAAAAAGCAATATCTATTTTTGAACGTTTGAATAGTGAAGAGACAAATGATGGTCCAACAATGAGTGAAAAATACTTGGCAAGCCGCTGTTGGTTTGAAAAATTCAATGGGCAACATAACTTGCATAACATTAAAATGAAAGGTGAACATATTGAAAGAGGTGGATACGATGCCCAATAAATTTTTAATGTAGATGAAACGGCTGTATACTGGAAAAGAATGCCTGATGGAACATTTATTTCCAAGAACGAAAGAGCTATGCCGGAATTTAAATTATCGAAGGAACGATTAACGTTTTTGCTTAGCGCAAATGCAGTTGAAGACTTTAAGTTCAAACCATTTTTAATATATACGTCCGAATATCCAAGAGCTCCAAAAGAAATAGATAAGCCTAGATTACCTCTTGTTTGGAGATCGAACAAAAAAAGCTTGTATGTTAAAAGCCTTTTTCAAGATAGGTTCAATAACTACTTTTGTTTTGAAGTGGTCGGAGGAACAATTTGGATTAAAAAATTCTGCTTCTCTTGGATAACGCTCTCGGACATCCCACCAATACATCGGACCTGTCTGAAGAGAGATGTGAAAATTACAACTAAATACAACCACCCTGATTCAGCCAATGGATCAAGGAGCAGTAGCAATATTCAAAGCAGAAAACGTTTCGAAAACTTGTTAATGAAACCGATAGCAAATTGTCAATTAATAAGTTTTGGGGTACTTCAATATGCTGTAGACAATATTGGCGAATCATGGAATGAGCTGAAATCAACAACATTAAACCGCGCATGGAAAGAAATTTTGCCCGATTTTGTTAGTCCTTCCAGAAATTAGACAAAACATATTAAGTTTAGCAAAGAAAGTTGGTTTTGAAGATTTGGAAGAAAATGATGACGTGAATTTGTTGGGATGCTGATTGCCAGCCACTTTCGAATGACGAGTTAATTGAACTTGCAGACAACGAAATAGTTTAGGCGTAAGAAGAAATAATTGACATCACAATCCCATAATTGACTTTAAAAAAGTTATCCTTCTTCAAAATGATCCCAATAAAGAGCGCAACGTCAACGTTTCTCGTGGTATCACCGCAGTTGTAATGTGCTATCAGGAGTTGAAAAGAGAACTGGAAAGGGTTGCAAAACAAAACACTTTGGACAAATTTTCAATGTTGGTCTACAAACAACAACGGAAACTGAGATACTCCGCAATTCCTTTGAACCAAAATAATTTTATTTTACGGTTTTTATCAGATTATTACTTCGTTTTTAGATTATTAGTTATCGTTTATTAAAATCTGAAAAAATTGAAGTAATTACATAACTTCACTTGAGTTTACACATATAGTATGTACCTACATGTACTTTTGTTATACGCCATTTTGTTGTACGACCCACTTTCAGGTTCATGTTCTCGATGGGCGTATGGAGGAGCTATACAGGTGTCCCGTATCTTTCGCATCAGAGCATTATACGGTTGTAATAATTTAATAATGTATCCTTTATTCTGAAGCGATCTTTCTAATAAAATTTTTCCGAAGTGTTTATAATAACCGAACGGGAACTGTAAGTCTCACTTCACGGAACTATTCACGTCAATAGCGCAAAAAGTTTATTTCTTTTTCCGTGTCGAATCTATTGGCGAGTACACGTGCGGACTACTTTAGAACGGCGCGGTGGACCGGCCGGGGGTGAGACCGATTGCCCGAGTGTGATTTACGATCTCCGAAGCTTTTCTTGAATTGCTATTGGAGGAAAAACAGTTCGTTTAAACAGTTCCCGTGCGGTTATTATAAACATTACGGAAAAATTTTATTAGAAAGATCGTTTCAGAATAATAATCCTGTTTCAATTAATCCTGTTTGTCAATTTGTAATGTATCCTACAACCGTATAATGCTCTGATGCGGAAGATACGGGAAACCTGTATAGGGCAGTGCAGGCAGCTAGTAAATAAGCATGGCATTGATTGTGCCTGACTTACTACAATAAGCTTGGTTGAGTGAACATGCTCTCATCTAGCTTGCCTATAAACTTAATCTTACGAACATGCATCAATTTGTAAGGGATTTTAACAGCCGCCATAAGTTGTGGAAAGGTTCTAATAATGACAGGAATGGCACGTACCTTTTTTAGTGGTCAGAGAATTTTGACACCATTTGACACCAAAGACGGAGGCATTTTTCGAACTGCAGCCTGGAAGAGGGAATATAATCCCGATCTTTGTTTTGTTACTATTGACAAAGAAAGCCAACCTCTGCCAGCATCAACAAGGTCATGTCCTACTTTCTTCATTGCATCCTGTTTTGATCAAAATCGTCTTAGATGGATAGTCAGGAAAACTAACTTGCCTGCTTTCTGATCTTGACAAATGCCTAGGCTGGTTCCCACTAGAGAGCGTAAAGTACGGGATATTGACGGGGGCAAAAATAGCAATTCCAAGAGGGTACCACAGAGAGTATGTTCCTGGATGATCCGAGGAGAGCAAAAAATTCTACAAAGAATTTTGTGAAGATGAAAGGCGGGAAATCACAGATGAACTGCTCCACAGCAACGATGCTGTAAGGAGCGAGAAATGAATTGAGAAAGTTGAAAATCTAGGTTCAAAAAAATCGAGTAGATAAACCAACCTAGAAACTCCTAACCAAGTGGGGTTCCACATAGTGTCCACTTTAAGGGCACCAAATTACTTTCCATTAAAAATAAATCAATAAATTTATAACAAAATTTAATTGAATATATAACAGATTACTAATGCAAAACTTATTTAAATTACTTAGATTACTTAAACTCTGGATAAAATTAATACATCGTTATCTTAATTATGAAGGGCTAATGCACCTTTTATGTAAAACGCTTAAGAGGCGTGTTTATAGTGAAAGAAAGCTGATTTCGCTGCTTCATGAATAGTCCAGTTTGCGTTGAAGGCTTTCTAGTAGCCCTTTCCCCGCAACCCTTAATATCAGTTCCACTCATTTCGTTAGTACGCGTTCGGTTTTCAGTATACGTGTATTCTACACATGGGGTGTGAACGACAACCAGAGGTGTTTAATTCGTTACCAGAATCGACAAAATCAACACTTAACTCAGCGTTTCTCAACCTTTCAGTATTCGGGGCCCAATTTTTATGGCGCGCCCCTTTCTTTTTCATATAATAATAAAAGACGACGTAAAAAAAGTGTATAAGCACTTGTGAAACAAAAATCTCCGCAATGTGTCTGGACCCATTGCATGATCCACAGAGAGGCTATGGCTTCAGAAAAAATGAGTCCTGGTCTCAACATTGTGCTAACGACGGTTCTAACTGTAATAAATTGCACTTTGTAAAGATATGGATGCTCAACGTTGCTATTTTATTGTAAGGCCAGATGGCTATCGCGTGGGAAATTTCTAGAACGTGCTTATGAGTTAAAAGAGGAAATTTCCACTTTTCTAGTAGAGGAAAACCACGTGACATATTCGAGAAATTAAATACCCTGAATCTACAACTCCAAGGAGCAAACACACATATGTTGGACAGCAGTGATGAAGTTAGTGCTTTTTGTAGAAAGTTGGAGCTGTGGAGCAGAAATGTGAAACAAAACAACACTAGAAATGTTTTGCAAATGTGAATGAGTGTGTCAAAACATACCAGGAAGAAGAACAGTATGTGAAAGTTGTTTTTGTAACAATATAAAGTTATTTTGCCATGTTGGCGCAGAATTTTAAAAAGTATATTCTTGCTGACGACAAATTGGTAGCAAGTTACGAGTGGTAGGTTTTACGAGTGGTTTTTTTTTTTTCATTTTGATACCCCCACGTAGAGTTATGGCGTGTTAGTTAGAAGTTGGATATATTATTGTTTTATGTTAGTTTTTGAAAAATTTGGCCATTCGGCTGATGATGACCTAATGTAAAGGTCGAAACCGGTCCCGAGGCAATTTAAATAAAGCAGGAAAGAAGTTTTTTAAAAGTTATTAAGTTTTTTATTATTGTCTAGTAATGAGTTAAAAAAATTACACTGAGACTAAATAACGGGAAAGTTTTAAAGGAAAATATTTTTTTTTAATTATTTAATTTAACGATCCAAAGCGACTTATTTATTTATTTTTGTATATATTTTTTAGGAAAACAAAATTTTCATCTAATAGGCATCGGAAGCTACAACCGTTCAGAGAAACGTGACTGGAGACAAAGAAAGGTTTAAAATTGACACCAGCGTCATCGTGCAAGAATCATTCGGTCCGAAAGCAGCAGCACCATCATCAGCGGCGCAAGCGGCTGATTTTATTTCACCATCCTTTCTCAGTTCCGGAACCGACGACGACGACGTCCACAACAACAACAACGACGACCACCAGCCGTCATCATTGCTCCATCACCACCATAGGCTCAAGAAACAAAAATAATCAACAAAACACCTGTTGTAACTTGCATTTTTATTAACAGCCACTAATTTTTTTAATACATTTGAAACAATGGGTACCGTAAATGTCAATAGGGAAGTCAAAGATGTCTTTTATCGGTATAAAATGCCACAGCTCATGGCCAAAGTTGAAGGAAAAGGGAATGGAATCAAAACGGTTATTGTTAATATGGCGGAGGTTGCTAAAGCTTTAGGAAGACCACCCACTTATCCTACAAAATACTTTGGTTGTGAACTTGGAGCTCAAACCCAATTTGATTTTAAAAACGAAAGATTTATCGTTAATGGGTCACATGATGCTGTTAAATTACAAGGGTTACTTGATGGGTTTATTCGTAAGTAAGTTAACTACAACGTAATTAAAACTCCCAAGAATTCTAACGATTTTGTTTTGTTATTAATAGATTTGTTTTATGTCCGGAATGTGACAACCCAGAAACGGATTTAATGGTTTCAGCAAAACGTGGGGCGATTTCTCAAAGTTGCAAAGCTTGCGGTTATCACGGTCAAATCGATTCCACTCACAAATTGATTACTTTCATATTAAAAAATCCACCAAATTTGAATCCAGCCGTTCAAGGATCTTCTTTAACCGAAGGTAAACGATCGAAACGCAGCAAACGCACCAACGGTGATGCGAATGGTGAAGGTAAAGATGGAGAAAATGATTCCGCCGATCATGGTGGTCCAGATGCCGCTTCACCAACAGCAGCCGGCAATAATACCGCAATCAAGAACAACGATGAAGACGAAGGCACGAAATGGTCTGCGGATATTTCTGAGGAAGCTGTTCGAGCTAGAATGCAAGATTTAACTGATGGTGTTAAGAATATGACCATCAATGATGATTTGGAAAAGTCTGAGAAGGAAAGAATGAATATTTTGTATGAAATGGTTAAGAATAAACGTGATGCTGGGGTTTTGGATAACACACAAGTAAGTTCTTGTTAACACTTTACTGACCGCTCGCGATTCAACAGCGTACGCACATCCGACCGGCCGCGCAGCCGCAGAATCTCCCTGGCGCCGGCTGTTTTTCAGGTCTTTAGAGATCGATATCTTCGCAACCGCTCGATAAAAAAAATTGCGGAAAAGTTTGTTATAATAACTGAACATTTCTACGTAACATATGTTAATTTGAAAATTTTCGGATCCACGTTTTTTTTTTATCGCGAGATAAATGAAAAAAGTACCCGATTTTTTACGTTGCCGGCAACTTTGTCCATTTTGTGATTTTTTTTCTCAAAAACTATCTGACGTAAAAATTTCAATTTTGAATAGATGGTAGCCTGATGTGTTCTTATTGAGAGCCATATTTTATTTTTTCGATATTCCATACAGTTTCGCGGAAAATCGCGGTTTAGCAAGACGCCGTTGTATCGAAAACGGCTGGATGGATTTCATCGCGGATTTGACCAAAATATGTCAAATAATTGCGTATATCGGATACCGTTATCAGTTTTTCAAAGTTATGTCTCTCTAGTTACTGATAGTAGACCATCGCACTGGAGTATCTGTGCGTTTCGTAGGCTCAGACAAAATTGTCCACCATCTGTTATTATGGAATATACATATTATAGGATAATTAGATTTAATAAAATGTTTTATTTTCACGATAATAATAAATTGTTTATTTTATCTATTACAACGGTTTTCAGTTTAATAATTATGTAATGATACTATTATAATTCATATAATGACATACTATATATATACACTACTCTCCAAAATTATCGCACCACCTAAATTATGCATTAAGTTTAAAGGTTTTTTTTTTTTTGAATCAACGGATGGATTTTGATGATTCTTCACAATATAGGTTGATTTTTAAGGAAGAAATATGTTGATGGTTTCTGACAATTGTCAACGTTTTACCCATATACGGGGTGTAAAAAGAAATTTATGTTTTTTGTTTGATCTTGCTCAATTGCATCCCAAACCTCTCTTACCATCCTCTCAACGTCATCCAAAACGATAGGTGGTGGATGTCGGCCCCTTAACTGACGATCAATATTATCCCATAAAATCTCTATTGGATTGAGATCAGGGCTACAGGGTGGCCAGTCCATGGTTTGTATACCAACTTCATCCAAATAGTCACGGACCGTATAGGCAACATGAGGTCTTGCATTATCATGCATTAATAAAAAATTATTTCCTATGTAAGGAGCAAAGGGTACCACGTGTTCCGATAAAATGTCTGTAATATACCTTTCACCTGTTAATGAACCTCTTCGCAAAGAAACAGGGTCTGTTCGTGCAATAAGCGAAATTCCACCCCAAACCATTACAGATCCTCCATTAAATAAAGTTGTCGGTCGTATGTTGCACTGTGCATAGCGTTCATTGGGCCGTCGAATTACTCTTAAACGTCTATCTGAGCTGTATACACAAAACCTTGATTCATCTGTGAACAGTACTTGTTCCCAGTCATCAGCATTCCAGTCAAGATGTTCTCTGGCAAATTGCAATCTCCTTCTACGATGATTTGCGTTTAAATTTGGTGCTCTGGCAGGAATCCTTGCATGCAAATCACCTTCGGCAAGACGTCTTTGTACAGTGTTAGTACTAATTCGAATATTATGAACATCTGCTACTTGTATCTGTAAGTTTTTCATTGTAACAAAACGTTCCCTTAAAGCACGAAGTCTAATAAAACGATCTTGGCGTAGTGTTGTGACTCTCCTTCTTCCTTGTCCAGGTCGTCTTGTATGATCATTTGTCTCTTGAAATCGTTGAACGGCACGTGATATTATTGTATGAGAAACTCCTAATCTCAAGCCTATTTCACTATAACTTATTTCTTCATTGGCTAAAGTAACTGCCTCAACACACTCATCGCGGTTTAAATGTCTTGAAATACGGTCCATGTCAAATAAACACTTAATAACCCAAAGCAGCAACTTGATAAATGCGTAAATAAAATTAACAAGCATTTCTGTCAAACTGTTTGATATTTCATAGCCTGCTTGTTTCATTAGTAAGGACTATATTTCAACAAAATAATTTATTTATATAATAATAATAATTTAATTATATTATATATATACCGGGTGTCCAATTAGTGCGATATCGCACGATATCTCCTTACAGGGTGTTGCTAGAAGAAAATGTTTATATATAAAGTTGCTTGGTGCTCGAAGGTGCATAACCTAAAAATATTTTTGTTTATACAGAGTGTTGCAAAAACAAAGTACAAGGTACAACTTCGTAAATTTAAATGGAATACCCCATATGTTATTACATTTTTGAATTACCTTTAAAATTCGACATACTTTTTGTTAAGCATTACCTATACCAAAATTTTACAGTTTTTGAAATATTCAACATTTTGTGAAAGAATCTCCGTCTGCATGTGTCTGTAAAAGAAAGTATACCTAATTTATTTAAGACCCTACAAAGCAAATCTTTTGTAGATTATTAATGCATAGTTACAGTAACTTCATGCCCGTATACAAATCTGGTAACCTTCTACAGGTGTTCGTAATATTGTACTCAATACCAGAAACTTGAAATAGCTATATCTCATTTTTTTTAAATGGAATGCCTCATATTTTTTTATCTTAAATTATTCGCCAAGTAATAAGGTTTCTTTTTTATAAAGCATGTCCTATACCTATTTGCAATAGTTATCAAGTTATTTATAGGACAATAGGTATAGGTATAGGTATAGTATAATATTATATATATTATAATATTTCAACAATAAATAATTATATCAATGTATATATCAAACAATAAATAATTAATATTTTTTCAAGGTATGATATCGTTCAAAACAGTTACCTTTATGTAATGGAACATTGCAAAATTTACAAACAAAACATGTTCTACTTCTTTTCTTTTGAACAGCACAAACTCCATTGTCTTTGGGGTTTCACACTTTTACCGCTAGTTACTATATTTATAAGTTTATGTTGTCCGAAATTCGAGAGCCTTCCGGGATTGTCAAATTTGGGTGCTCTCCTTGTGGGTGCAGAACTAGGTAGTATATTGTCATCTTGTTCCATACAATTAGTTTCATCATATTCTATCCATGAAACTGACACCTTGTGCAAGAAATTCTTGTACGTAATACTTCTTCCATTTAAAACTGTGTATGCTTTAAATGAATTAAAAAGCGCACAGTTTATAAAAAACATTACAACCCATTTAGTCCATTTTTTTGTTTTTCTGTAAATGGAATAGTATGCTAGATATTGGTCCGCGCGATCGACGCCCTTCATATATCTGTTATAATCTATGATGGAATTAGGCGTTTGTATTGGGGCATTTGATCTTTTACTTCTGCTTGTGGATTCCGTCAATAGGGCCGTTAACGTCAATCGATTAGAAAGACCGTCTTTCAAAAAATCGATAATGTAAATTAAATTAGACTAGATTAGATTTTTGCAATAATTAATGTGAAACTTTAAAATTCCCCACCCCTGATTCATTGTGACGTTTTAAGTAAGAAGAAAGAAATCACAGACGTGATTTCTCTCCCGTTTTCTTCTAGCGCATAAGATTCGTAGCATTGTCTCTCTCCAGGAATTGTATTGATTTTTATATGCTCCAATCATACGCTCAAATTTGAGTGACGCGCTACTGAATTCGCGGCCTGTAATTTCAAACTTTATTATTTTTTTTTGGAAAAACTAAGCCTCATAATCAAAAATTAAAAAATATGGGGTCAATTAATTTTAAAAAACTTTCGAATGAGCCAATAAAAAAAAATAGTTAACGGCCCTATTGTGCCGAATGTATAGAAGATATCATATTTACATTCCTTTTGCCATTATTCCATACTTCTAACAAAATTTGACGATTCCTACGAAATTTGTGCTGACCTCTTGAAAGTCGTAATATTTGTAGAGATTGAGGAAGACCTCTATTTTTTCGAATGGTTCCGCACACTCGCACTTTATTTCGCAGTGAAATTTTAGCCATCTTGACGCTGTTATAATAATTACCTTGATAAATGTGGTGGCCTATGTTTATATATGGTTCAATAACCGTTAAAACCGTATTTTCCATTTTTTTGCCATCGGCAGCATACACGTGAAAATTGCATATGTATCCTGTGACAGCTTCGCACACCATTCTTACAAGTATTCCGTATTTTGTAATTTTTGCCGGATTGTACGTTTTAATGGATAACCGACCTCTCCACAGAACTATACATTTATCCAAAGATAATTGCTGATATATACATCGTTAAATTTTTGCTGTAAATAATCAATGACAGGCTGGATTTTAGCAAGCCTATGTGCATTGTGAGGGATGTTGTCGTTATTGCAAAAATGCCAGCTCTGCATTATTTGCACAAATCTGTTTCTGCTCATGACTTGCGAAAAGAATGGAGTTTCTATACTTGGATCTGTTGACCAATAGTCGTAGAACACGTTTTTTTTTACCTGACCCATTAGAACTATTACTCCTAAAAATTTTTTCATTTCCGTTTCGCTCTTGATGGAATTTTATACTTTTGTATCATCTGGTAATGATATCTGTTGGATTCCTTCACTAAGTGTTCGAAAAAGTCCATTCCAATAAATAAATTGACGCTATTCATCACATTTTCTGTAGAACTAGGCATAATTTTTATGCCAGGGCTGCCTTCAAAAGGTTCCAAAATTACTGCTTCATCTTCTGCCAACCATATATCATCGTCATCTTCAATGTTATTTGTATCGTCTTCGTTGTTACTTATCTCGTCGTCTTCTAAATCACTACATCTTAGTGGCAATACAGAATCCCGTTTTCGAATTATTATATCGCTCCCATCACTTTCGTCACCACTATCACTTCCTGAATAACTGTGAGGACAATCTGATAAATAAAACTCTCCAATACAATTTTTTTCGCTCATCGTAAACGGTAAATTTTTTAAAAACGGTGTGAAAATCCGAGTTTACGAAGCAACGCAATGAACGCAAATGAGTAATGTATCTCAATAAAATAGGTTAAACAAGTAACAATTGTTTATCGCCGTGGGAACCCAGCGTTCGGCTGTTTTTAGGTACGCGCGATATAAAAGCCGATTAATAGGCTAGCGGTCGGTAAAGTGTTAAGATTGAAATAAAAAAATTGTAATTTTAATTTCTTTTAATGATTTTAGGTACAAAAGGATATTGTAACAGAAGCCGAACGTTTAGAAATCAAGCCAAAAGCACCATTAATCCTCGCCGAATTATTATTCGACCAAAACATCTTGGCACAAATTAAAAAGCACCGTGTGTTCCTGTTGCGTTTCACTGTCAACGACAAAAAAGCCCAAAAATATTTGATGGGCGGTTTGGAGCAACTTATCGCACTTCACCAGGACGCGCTCGTTCCAAAAGTGGCTCTAATCTTCAAGGTTTTATATGATTTGGATGTATTGAATGAAGCTACATTTATGGAATGGGCCGAAAAGGTATCTAAAAAATATGTCTCAAAGGAAGTTTCACAAGAAATCCATAACAAAGCGGCGCCGTTTATTAAATGGTTACAAGAGGCTGAATCTGAAAGTGAAGAGGAAACGGAAACGGAAAGTGACGTTGAAATTGAGTACAATGATCGAGTTCCGTTAAAACCAACGGCGACAGCAACGCCAAAACCAAAAGTAGTAGTTGAAGATGAAGGCGAAGATGATGTTGATATTGATGCTATTTAAAACATAAAAAAGGGTAATTATAATGATTTAAAAAAGGGGAGGTGTCGTCGTGGAACACAGGGTTTTCTTTTTTCTATAGACAGAGGGCGTTAAGTGTCATTATCCGTTTTCTTTCCTTCCTTTTTCTTTCTCCGTTTATTTTTTACTATTTTTGTCGTTTTCTTCTTTTTGAATAAGATAAGAGTATTTATCATAATCTTTTTGAAGTCTCCCTGCCGCCCCAAAAACAGCTAAGAAAAGTTTTGAAAAAAAAGAAAGCCTTTGTTATCGTCTTCAGAATATTGAAGATTAAAAAAAAAACATCTTTAAAAAACGCAATTATTATATATCGATTATTATATCTATTTTATTTTATTGTGAAAAAAATATTTGTTTAAAATATTCAATTAAGAACGCGCAGATGAGAAAAAAAATAATGGAAAAATTTCGTGAAAATTGGAAATATTATATTTTTAGCTTTTAATTATCAGAGTAATAATGTGGATGATAAACGCTTGTTTAAGCTATCTCTATATGGTTGGTTGGTTTCTTATGTTACATGCGCTATATTATAAATAATAATAATGCGAAAGTATTCCTTGAGATTTGTAATAATATTATAAATTAGGGTAGAGTTTATTTGATGTATATTATAATTAACCTCCCCCCACACACACTCCACTTCGATATTGGTGGATTTCCATCTGTTATATTTTACTGTCAATAAAAACATTTTGAAACTTTATTTTTTCTTTTCTTATATTTTTAAGAGTCAATACTATACCGGTATATTAAAGCGATAAAATTTAATCAGATTTTTGACAAATTGTTAAGTATTGTCCCTTTGTTATCGTTATTGTCCCGTTTCCTATAGATTTAAAGACCACATTTAGCTTGAATTGCCTTTTATAATTTCTTCGCCTAAAGAAAAAGAAAAGTAAATCTTACTAGGGACTTAGAATTACATCACATTGTTGTATATTAAGTAGAGGAAATTTAAGATAAAGAAATGCTTTTACGCAAAATAATATCACATTTCTTCGCAAGCTTTTTTTATTCAGAAATAAACAAGAATTTCTGTTAGCTCTCGCCTACCAGAGTAGTGAAGGCTGGGAACTCCATGTTTTATTGCGATATAAACAAGTTATGTGTAAACAAGTAACTCTCTAAACAGCAATTTAATATCTTGAATGCTAACGACACGTCTGAGAGGCGTTTTCAAATATATCATGTTGATGAGAAAAGAATTATATTTAAAATCTATGACGTGCATCTAATACCGTCTGTGAGACGTATGTTTAGTAATTAAAGGTTAAACCTACGAAAGGTAATCTACCGATTTTCATGAATAATTATTTATTTTGATCAAGTTTACAGTGCTTTTTAACAATAATAATAATAATCTTTATTGAGCGCACCAATACAAAGAATTTTAAAATAAAATATATAATGATTAAACTAAAAAGAAATAATGTAGAAAATAATAATAAAAGAGTTATTACTAGTTCGACTGACGCCGTTCTTCCACTAGCCCATTAAACCGGATTTATATTTGTCTGACGTGTTATGTCGTGATGCGCTCTGACGTAATGGTTAGTGTTCACATCTATATGTTGTGTTCTGACGCACTCTGGCGATATTTTGAATCAATACAGTTGTAGCTCTGGTCGTAGCACTCAGAGAGTTCATACGTGGGTCTATAATGTTTTCCCATGAATCTTCTGATTCAGATTATGAAGAAGATATTCATTTTATGGTACTAGCAACTCTTCTGAAAACAGAAAAAGAGAGAAGATATTGGGTTCATCCAGTGAACAGAAAGAGAGAGGCTAAAGGCGAATTTCACGGCCTGGTTAAAGAGCTTGAGAGCGATGCTGATAATGTTAAATGTAATCAAATTTAATATCGAAAGAAAGAAGAAACGCAAATCTGACGAGTCATAAGACAGGTGTACACTTGTCTGATCTGTCGTTATGCGTCACTTCCCACTCCACTGCTCTGACGGACATCGGGATCGCTGCTGATGCGACACAACACAAGGCACCACAACACATTGTGACACACAAATATAAATCTCACCATGGTACATGTATTCAACCGATACCGTTCTGACGCGTCACAACACGACACGTCAGACAAATATAAATCCGGCTTTAGACATACAACCAAACAATCACACGAGAGTACACCATTTAATTCAAGCAAATATTAAAGTTAATAGTCAAATACCGCAAAACAAACAAAAAGAGCACAAACCATACCTCGCCGTTCCTACTCCATCCCTACAAACTCTCTGGACCCTGCATTAGTATTATTTTTTTTCCCTTTTAAACCGCCCCACCGAAGAGCACGTCCCAATCTTTACAATCAACACCTTAAATATTTTATAAATTTGGTAGGTAAAGCTGTTCTTAAAAAAATTCTGTTTTGTGTAAAGGCGGTGTTAGCGTTCCCTTAAATCTGAGATTAAGATTGTGCACATCGGAGCGAAAAGAAATTTTTCTAAACAAGTAAATTACGAAACAGCAACGCCGCATGTGCCAGGCGTCTCGACTGCATATTTAACCAGCTTATTTCCGACAGTTTATAACTTACATGATCCCTTCGCCTCAACCCAAACAATAGACGTATACAAGAGTTTTGCACCTTTGGATTTTATATTTAAGTGCATACGTTAGAAATGGGTAATACAGACAGTCAGCAGAATTGAAATGTGATAACACTATGCTATTACATAGTAATCGCTTAGTTGCTTTATTTATGTACGCCTGATTAGAATAACTAAGTTTTAGTGAGCCATAGGCCTTCTGCAGACATTTATTAATGTGCAAATCAAATTTTAAATTTTCATCTAATATTACACCTAAGTTTTTCACAGACTTACTAAATACTGACTGCTCGTTGTTCATTTTAATGTTAATTTTGTTTATTAATCGTTGTTTAAGTGATTTTGGGCCAAACAGCATTAATTCTCTTTTGTGGGTTGACGCGTAAGCCATGTCCATCAGAAAGCTGAACCAGTCGTTTCAAATCATCATCAATTCTGGCACATGCGGCGTCCACCTCCGACTCTGAGAACGGATACTAAATTTGCGTATCATCACTGCGTGCAATACCGCAGTATATTTTTTAAATGGCTTGTATAGATGTTAAACAATAGAGGGGATAATGTTGATCCCTGTGGGCACCCGACTCTTACCAATACAGTATCACACCTTGGACAACAGCGGTAAGATGCTGATCGGACGTAAGTCAGCAAAGGAATCAGGATTCCTTTTTTTTTGCAAAGGAATCACTTTCGCCTTTTTCCAAACGTTAGGAAATTGACAGTTTGATATGCAGGAGTTAACAACATCTTTTATTTGAGGAATTATGTGTGGGCAACAATAGTTGATCATTCTCATGCTTAACCCATCAAGTCCTGCAGCATTGCTTCTTATTGAGCGAATAATCCTCTCTATGTCCAAATCAGTGACCAATTCAAAATTATTGTAGATAAGTGAATCTACATAAAAAGTTACATAAAATGAATCTTTTATAATAACATTATGCATATAAAAATTATACCAATCAATGTCAATAGGTACACAGGTATTATTAATTTGATTCGCATCAACTAGATGCTCAGGTACACGGGTTATAACTCCACATTTTTTCAACGCAACCCAAGGATCTGTTTAGGATTGCATACAATAATCAACAAATGCCCTTCTTTCTCTCTTTATAGCACCTTTTACATAATTCCTTATATCTTTATAATACTGCCATGATTCGTCTGTTTTTAGTAGTCTAAATCTTTTGTAAGCCTTATCACGAGTTTTCTGCATATCTTTTATAGTGTTGGTTATCCAAGGTGTCGGAGCCCCGCGTACTCTAAAAGGTTCTGACTGGAGCGTGAACATCAAAAAGTGTCAAGATACTTTCCGTTAAAAAGGAAATCTTATCGTTAATATCTACCATATCAAAAATCAAGAAAAAGGGAATCGCATACAGGTCCTGCAAAAGTCACGATAATTAAAATGAGAAAAGACACGACGATAAAAGGTCGATAATATAATAAAAGGTGACGACCGTACAACAGGTTCTATGTTTAAATTACAATAAATTACCTCATGATAGAGATGAGAAGAAACAACGTTGGTATCCCTAATGATATCAGTATCAGAAACAAAAATGAGATCGATAATTATTGTTTCGGTGGTACTAGTTATACGCGTGGGAGAGCAAACGATTTGATTCAAATTAAAAGCGTCTAAGCTGTCAATAAGTCTTTCTCCCAAACGGTCAAAGTCTCTACATAAATCAAAATTAAAGTCACCCGTAAGTATCACTTTGTCTACAGTAGGGGTAACAATCCACAACTGTGATTCTAGTTCGCAGATGAAAGCCTCTGGGTCACACCTTCTTTGCGATCGGTAAGCAACACCCACTGCAGTAGCTATCCTACGAATAGTAAACGTAACCCAAACCTGCTCTATGGCGTTACAAGATACTAGTAATTTAGCCTTAAGGCTTTTCTTTATATAAATCCCAACACCACCGCCCCTCGAACCCCTATCCTGTCTAAAAAATCGAAATTAGCCAAGCATATATTGTCACTATCTATATTCTCAGACAACCAGGTTTCCGATAAACAAAAAATATCGTAATGATTTGATTCAACATAATCTCTGAACTCTGTAAGTACAGGCAGAAGCGACCGAATATTCAAATGTCCCAATTTCAAGCACTTCTGCAGCATTTGACGTCTATAAAATGAAATTAACAAAAACATAAACAAAGATTATAGTAACTCTCGTTGCGATTACAATGCAATAACAAAAACTGTCACCAACTCTTTTGAGCTACAGTAACACACGTAACAAAGCTCATGCCAGTCAATGTGTCACAAGAAAAATCAAACAACAAAAATAAATATAATCCGGTAACAAAAAAAAAATTAATAAATAAAAATAATAATAATATATTCAAACAATCAGTACGCAGATGAGATGACTGATGGTTGTTAAATTCAACGACTTACTGTAAGCGATATTACAGTAAACTTAATCTATTTGTTTCTTTTCCGTTATTTACCTTGTCAATATCATCAATACTTTTAATTTGCATCACAGATTTGTTATAGTCAACATAAATCCTACCGTCTATACTCCAAGAAATTTCACGCGCTTCTTTGAGCAGGTTGAATTTATGACTAGTTAAATCTTCTTGAATGCTTATTTTGGAACCCTTAAGATTTTTTTCGCCTTGTACACCAAAT